CTTTGTTCTCCGTGGATCATCTGCTGATGAATTACTTTTTGTGAAACAGCCTGTCATATTTAATCAGCAAGAAAACTGAATTAAAATGACCTTTCTTCCTTTGAGTGTTCAAACATGAGACTTTACAGCACAGCTTGATTCTTTTATTGAAACTAGCCCTTACAGTTTGATGTTACAGATCCTGATTCTTTTAAATGGTGAGAATGATGAAAGTTTGAGGCTTTTATCTTCAATGATCTCAGTGAAATTCATGTTCAAACATGAAGTCAGTGTGTGAACACTAAACATGCTGGAGGTCGATGGACATTTTTAGTCATATATATCTTATATGCTCAAACTTTAGACCATCACATGTTTATGAAATCAGACATGATCATGCAGAAGAACCACAACGATTTGAGATGGAATGACTCATCTGTCACACTGTGTGACAGCAAAGAGCTGATTGGCTGATGAACAGCAGAGGAAACAGGAAACACTTTAAACTCCTCCTCAATTCTATCTCAGCTGCTCCTCTGACAGTAGGTTAACTATTGATCCTGAACCATCTGATCAATAATCACTCTCTGAAACCTGATCAGGTTATTTTAGAGGTGTCAAACATAAGGCCCGGGGCCAGAATAGGCCCAGTAAAGACTCTGATGGACCTCCTGGATGGATCTACAAAATATGATGGAGGCGTAAAGTTTTTGTGTAAAAGTTTCCTGCTGACAAACACAGCTGTGACTCTCACTGTCACAGTAACACACATGAACTCAGGTGTGTTTTAAACTGGAAACTATTTAAATAAAAAATAAAGTGTTTTTAAACAAACTGAATCATGTTATTAAAATAAAGTTGGGTTTATTTTGAAAATCCTCAGAATGGAAACTGATCAGGCTGAACTTTATTTTGAAGAGTCTATAAATATTGATTATTGATCGGTGCTGTCTGTGTCAGATCATGTTCACCTCCAGCTGCTGTCTGCCTGGACACTGATGACATCATGAGCTGTGAGCTCTGTGATTGGCTGCTGTGTGTTAGAGCTCAGCTGCACTTTCAGTCACTCAGAGACTCTCACACACTGTGAGGTTCACACACACAGACACACACTCAGAGTTTAACTGTCAGAGAGCTGCTGATGAAGATGAAGGAGCTGCTCCTCTTCCTCTCCTGTGTCCTCTGTGTCTCTGCTGACGGTGAGTTTGTCTCTGTAAACAGCAGGTTATTGATCAGGTTATTGATCAGGTCACTGATCAGTGTTTGATGTGTTTCAGTTCTTCATGAGGACATTGGTATCACTGGCTGTTCAGACTCTGATGGAGAGGTCATGTATGGACTGGATGGTGAAGAGCTTGCCTACGCAGACTTCAACAAACAGGAGGAAATCTACCCTCAGCCTCCTTTTGTTGATCATTTCACTTATGGGGAAGGAACTTATGAACAAGCTGTGGCTGATCAACAGATCTGCAAAGGGAACCTGCAGACTGCTCGTAAAGTGATGAAGGAATACCCTCTAGAACACGGTGAATACAACATGTAACATCTGTCTCACCTCACCTGTGTTTACCTGCACGCTCTGTAGAGTAACACACTGATGACATCATCAACACTGATTTACTTGGTCCAATCAAACACAGCCAGCTTCAAACTGATTATATATATGAAATCATTCCACCTTAAACACATTCAGACTGATCGTGTGTACAGAAACACTGACATGTTTATATTTGTGTTTATATTAAAGATGACAGTTTATTTTGTTTTTCCTCCTTTTTGTTCCTCTAAAGCTGAACTGAGTCTGTCTGTAGTTTAACTTCATGATTCTGACCTCACTCTAGTTTCTCTCACACAGACAGTGATGACATCATCTGACTGAACACCTGAACGTTTTATTGATGTTTATTGATAAATAAAATCATCTGCTGAAGCTCTGATCCTCTGCCTGATGTGTTTGTGCACAGTTGCTCCTTCAGGTGTGATGATCTACACCAGAGATGAGGTGGAGTTTGGAGAGAAGAACACTCTGATCTGTCATGTGACTGGTTTCTATCCTGCTCCTGTCAACGTCTCCTGGACCAAGAACGAGCAGAAGGTCACAGAAGGATCCAGCATCAACGTTCCCTATCCCAACAAAGATGGCACCTTCACCCAGATCTCCAGACTGGACTTCACCCCACAGCTGGGAGACATCTACAGCTGTGCAGTGCAACATCTGGCCCTGACACAACCACTGACCAAGATCTATGGTGAGAAAACTTTATTTAAATAGAGAACACTGACAAAAATACACATGTGAAGACTGAGCCCAGTGTTCATCAGAACAGCTGGATCTGATCTGAGATGACAGTTTGTCTCCAGATGTGAAGGTTCACTGTTTCTCCTCTTTGTCTCCAGAGGTGGAGGCGTCTGCTCGCTCTGATCCAGGTGTTGGACCCTCTGTGTTCTGTGGAGTGGGTCTGACTCTCGGTCTGCTTGGTGTGGCTGCTGGAACCTTTTTTCTCATCAAAGGAAACGAATGCAGCTGATTGGCTCACAGTGATGATGTCATCAACATTATATAATGAGCTCATAATCAGTGTGGCTGTGCAGAGTTCACCTGTAATGAACATCTGATTCCTCTGTCCTGTTTGCTTCCTGTTTACCTGCTTCACCTGCTTTAATTTAATCACCTGTATGAGCTGTTTTGCCTGTCATCATGTGTGTCAATAACGTTTACCTATGAATTACTAAACTATAACTAAAGCTTCTTTCAGCCGCTCTCTCACCACAGCTCCACATGTTCGATCCATCAGATGTTACCTGGACTCTGTTCCTGCCACAAAAACAAAGGGGATCAAAGTCAAATTAATGTTGCTGAAATCAGTTTTATCTGAACTCAGGTGATCTCAGTGTGTTCATAAACTGCTGTAATGACTCCTTGTTTATCAAACTGTGTTTCAGGTTGTTATGTATCAATAAAAACATGGGTAATAAACACAAACCTGTGTGAGTGTGTTCTTTGTGTGTCTTTACAAATATTCATGGATCCATTTCACTCTGTGGTTTGAGTCAGGAGTCTCTCAGTGGGTTCATGTTTTTAGGTTCTGCTTCCTGTTCATAATCATGTGACTTCATTGGTCCCAGATGAAATTACTGAATTCCAGCAACATTTACATTTGTTCTGAAAACTATCTCAAGATGTCGTTTTCCTCATCAATGATCTGATAACCAGTGTTGGTCAAGTTACTTGAAAAAAGTAATCAGTAATTAATTACTGATTACTTCCCCAAAAAAGTAATCCCGTTACTTT